AATAAAAAATGGGGGTATCCATTTAAAAACATCATTGTGACCTTGACCTGATCTTTATGACGCAACTCAAGGTCAAACTGCTAATATCATAAAATAGATCTTTTTAAACCCTACAACTTTTGTATTTAACATTTTTTTATACAACGCTTTGTTTTCGAGATATTCAGGTGTTCCGGTATATAATATTCACCCTGTATAATAATCTGTGGCATTTTGGTACGTGCGTGATTGATCATAATTCCTAACAGAACTCTTAATGAACTTCTCAATTAGTCAAATATGATCTATTGAATGAATCTATGACATCTATTGAACGAGAAGGTATATAACGATCTTGATTTGGATGATTCGTCGCTCGTATCGCACAGGTAGGCGACTTACAATACGCCTCACCCGCTACAGTGTCAAGAGCTGGTATGGTTTATATGGATCCGAAGAACCTGGGTTACCAGCCGTACATGGACAAGTGGATACGAGGGAAGAGCGAAGCCGATCGAGATTTCCTCAGTGGAATGTACGAGAAATACGTGCATGGCTCACTCAAGCTTATTCTCGAAGGAATGTTCGGCTCCCAAGTGGTCGAGCCACTTCGACTGATCATACCGCAAACTGGACTTAATATGGTAATCACTAGTCTCACTATCGATTAATCCACCGTTTCCACTCGCCGGTGACATTCATAAAAGGCGAGGAAAATCAAGAACTCGTACACCATTGCCAATCCTGGCTCCAGATAAATCGCTTTCTGCTAATCACTTTATTTTGTATTTTACAAGTGACATTTTTCGCACCGTTTTTCAAGGTGACTCAACTCTGCTACATATTCGACGGCTTGCTGTCGATAGAAAACGAATTGGCGGACAGCAGACTCGCAGAAATCGGACAGGGGGATGACGCACTGCTGGAGCCAAAAGTGACGAGAGAAGAACTTTGGGAGGCGATGTACATTCAAGCGTGCTATTGGTCGTTCGGTGCGTCTATTGTGGATAAGGCACGTTATAAATTCGACGAATATATGAAGAAGACATATGGACTTTTGCCAATGCAAGACACGCCCGCCAAGCCGGCAACTGCTAGTAAGTGTTTTAAAAACTCTGCCAATCCTTTTTCAAGTGAATTTCCTTTTCCAATTTCTTTTTCCAAGTCATTTCCTTCTTTCGTTCAAAATCAAAAAGATAAAATCGTATCAAAGTCCAAAAGATTCAAAACAGAATATATAAACTACGTTCTAAAAATACAAAACAAATAAATATAACGAACACATAGAAAATAATTCAAGTGCGTAAAAGTCTAATTTTCGTGCAAGTGCTTTTACGCTTCTCTGTTGAATTCGAGAAACAAAAACGCGCTTTTTTACGCTAGGATACATACCGACGTCATTTCCAACTATGTACGATTATGTGCTGGACATTAAAACGCAAGTTTGGATGGCGTGGAAGTGGTTGGTACCGGCATATATTCACGATAGGCAGAAAAGCTTCTCGGACATCTTGGTACAGACGATCGATACCTCGCGTACTACATGGTTCGTGAATATCATGAGCAAGCTGCAAAGACCGGTATTATTGGTCGGAGAAACCGGGACTTCGAAGACAGCTATCATTCATGAATTTCTAAGAAACTTGAACCCCGAAAAATATGTGAGTTAGAAAACAATATTTAAAGGAACTTCTCATAGTTATTACTAATCAACACACATTTTCATTTAATTACATTGCAAACAATCTTTGCTAGTTTCGCAATTAATATGAATATCGCTAGTTTCGCAATTAATATTAATATCGCGCTTAATACTAAGCCATCTAGTCATTTTTAGAAATTTGCATTTATATACATCACAACAAAAATCGAATATACCATAAATTTTTTGCTAATTTTTTGCTATTCTTTGCTGTGGAAAAAAATTTTAGCTACAGCCAAAAAACTTTACAAACAGGTAGACAGCTTACCAACTGTATAACGATAACTGTATAACATATAACAATTTATGTACGTGATTGATCGTAATTTCTAATAGGATCAACTCCTAATGAACTTTTCCTCGAGAACCACTTCGATGGACGTGCAAAGGAATATCGAGTCGAATGTGGAGAAAAGATCGAGAGAGATATATGGACCACCACCTGGAAAGAAACTGATAGTTTTCATCGACGACATGAACATGCCGATCGTGGATACTTATGGGACTCAGCAACCCATTGCACTTCTCAAACTGCTGTTCGAAAGGGGTGGTTTTTACGATCGCGGTTACGATCTGAACTGGAAATTTATGAAAGACGTTTGTGAGTGTCGTTCGCAGAACGTCTCGGAAATATTAAATTGAAGCAAAAGATTTGTCCTGCTTGTCAAGACAAATAGAAAACGAAATTATCCAATTTCAAAGGATTCATGACTTTTACGAATGAAATGAATATTGACACGATTATTTTTTTTTTTTTTAGACATTTAACGAAGACTTCTTAGTTTCCTTTTATTATCAAATCTCCCTGTGAAAATTTAAAAGAAAAATGACAAACCTTTGCACCGACCTAAATTATGCTTCTTTTAGTAATTTGAAGCACTGATCTTTCGGAAAATAATTTTACCAAGTGACGTTTCTTTATCGTCTTTTAAGCATGTATTACGCGTATAGTCTCTGCAACACTTACCGAAAATTAGAAATACACTAATATTTATCTTTTCGTATAAACAGATAATATTATTGCATGCTTTGTGCAGCACCAAAGCTGTTCACAGTGAAAAAATTAGGTATTTATTTTTTTTTATACAGATTACATAGCAGCCATGGGAGAACCCGGTGGTGGTAGGAACGAAGTCGATCCGCGTTTCATCTCGATGTTTTCAGTTTACAACGTAACGTTCCCGTCCAACGAGACTCTCAATTACATTTACACGAGCATTTTGACGGGCCATTTGCAAACATTCCCAGTGGAAGTTCAAACTATCGCGAAAGGACTTGTCCAATTGATGCTGGAACTTTACGAGGTAATTTCGCGACACGTTGCATGTGTACGCAATGTCATCCGTCTAAAAGTGCAACGAAGGACCTGTCACAACCAAATCGCGCTTTTCAGACAGTCAGAAAGGAGTTAATGCCGACGCCATCCAAGTTTCACTATATCTTCAACATGCGGGATCTCTCGAGGATCATGGCTGGACTCCTTCAGAGCCATCCGGATTTCTTTCCGGGCGTAAAGCAATTTGTTAGACTCTGGAGAAACGAGGTCACTAGGGTCATATGCGATCGTCTCATTAGCGCACACGTAAGAAGCTTTCTCCTTTATGTTGATTTAAATTTTATTCCGAGCACTCGTGCTGTGTGTTCCAGGATGAGAATTTGGTCGTTGAACAGCTGAGGGAAAAGATAAGCGATTATTGGGAGGAAGATTCCGAAGTAATTCAATACAGCTTAAGAGACCCAATGCTCTACGGTGACTTCAGGAACGAGGATGAACCTAGATTTTATGAAGATCTCTTGGATTATGAGGCGGTTTACAGTTTGTTCCTTGAGGTTCGTTCTTCCCGAAGCATTTCATTAATCGCTAATGTTTAATATATGTTTAATATGTATTTTAATCATCTTGGAGGAGCTGCGAGGTCTCAATTTTGACATATTTATATGCGTGTCCTCCGGGTTCCGGCGTCCTTCTTTTTGTATTTTTTACTTTTTGCGAACTGTTGACCAATGATTATGACCAATGATTTTCTCTTTGTGACTAAATTAATCCATCACTGAGGAGGGTCTGCGAAATAGAAACGCGTTTGATTTTTTATTGTATTCTTTTTTAATAAATTTATAAATTTCCTTCCATAACCTACAGAAAACACCCACCAATAATTTTATTAGTTTTATTATACTAACACTTGTGTTGAAACTCTCATAGGCCCTATTTTAACTTCTTGATCTGTTTCAAAAGAGTTCTTTTGGTTCTTCCTAATATTTTAATCATACCAGGTCTGTAAATATGAAACCGGAATTTGCCCATAGATGGCCCTAGCTGTCAATGTAGTTACCGTCAAGCCGCGTCATTGGCGCCATTTCCTTGTTGACATCTCTGACAAAGATTTTCAACTCACAACAATACAAGTTTCATACAACAGCATAGTTTGTAATAGCGTTGAACATGTCGAATTTTGTATCTGACAACTACAATTTGCGGACAGCATTGATTTTCTGTTACTATTTGAAGAAAACTGCTGCAGAATCGCATCGAATGCTTGTCGAAGCTTACGGTGAGCATGCTCTTGGTAAATCACACTTTGAGTGGTTTAAAAAATTCAAAAGTGGCGATTTTGACATGAGAAACGAAGAACGTGGAA